TGTGTGTGTGTGGGGGGGGGGAGTTGTACCTTTACCCCACTATAATAAGCCTGTGAAAATGGTGGCTGGCTCCATGATCTGACTGTGAAATTGGCTGGCTGCCTCCCTGAGTTGGGCAGACCCCTAGCTATAAGATATACATATGCAAGTAATGTTATTCCATCTAAGGCTTTGGCCTTCTCAATTTACGTATACTTTACATACAATTAATGAATATTCCACATCTCTGGGGTCAGGCCATTACTATTTAGAAACAAGGATAGTGTCCACATTTTAGGGAAAAAATCTATATTTATTATGCCAAAGAGAGAAGTACTGTTTTGGTAAATGTGGAGGAGACCTCAGGACTAGGTAAGGCAAGGACTAAGCTTTCCAGGGCAGGTACTGAAATCTAGGGGTGACCTGATAAAGACAAGTCCTTTACCCATAATTGATGTTGGCAAAGAAAAACTTTCACTTAGCAATGCTCCTGCCTCAGTTCAACCTCACAGGCTACAATATTTAAGACTTTAATCCAAATTCAAATACTAGATTTACAGAATGGGTATTTATTTGACGCTGGCTGGAGACTACTTAAAACAGTACCAAAGTTGTCTGGTAAGTTATGGTATTCTTGACCTAACCCAAAAGAATCGTCTCAAAGGTGAACTCAAAGGTGAAATTCATATCACTATTCTATTTAGCTAGTTTAACTTATCTGAGCCACCCCTCCCGATCCATATTACCTTGGGGTGGCTGTACCAGAACCACAGAAGGAAAGACAAGTGTAGTGGAATGAGTTTCAAGAATCAGTCCGCTCATTACTTGTTTCAAGTTATGGCTAGTAAAGACAGATGTGAATCACAAAAGGGCTGGAAGCTGTGAGATGACTGCTGGTGGAATTCCTATATTTGTAAATTTAGTACTGTACCAAGTCCTGAACACACCACATGGAGGGGCAGATCTGGGGAGGCTTGACTTCCAGCTCTGATGAATGGGAGAACATCCAGAGCCAAACTATGAAGAGATGAGCAAAGATTTTTTTAATATAGATGACTGACAGACTTGGGCTAGATGAGAATGGGAGTAAGTAGTAGTATGAACATCCCCTGAATAATCCTGCCCAAAGCAGCAAAACTGCATGATTTCCTACCCATTTAAAAAAACAAACAAAAACCAGACAGCTCAGCCAGGGAATTGGAAATAAGTTGATTTATAAACCAACTCTAGTACTTACTTTAGTTCATTTTTAAGTCTGAGCATGCTATTTTCACCCCTCCTTCCCCCCCACCTTTTACCATATGTCTTAAATGGGTCAAAATGGCATTTTTTGCACTTCAAGCAACTGACAACACTAATAATTAGTAAACTTAATATACATACTTCCATTTAAACCCTGAATGAGAGAAAATGAAAATGATGCTGTTCATATTAAAACCCACCACCTTTTGATTCTATTTATCTAAATTTACTTACATAGTCAAAAAGGTATGCATTTAGTTCTCCTGTTCCATCAACCAGTGTAAATTCCATAACAAACACATACTGGAGTGGCTGAATACCTAAAACTAGAAGTGGAAAAAATGTTGGGCTTCAAATACTGAATACTCAAGGAAGAACTGTGACAATGTAAGCTAACTGAAGTAAACTTGATGTTTTTTATTACATGACTTTATAGTTTAAAAATATAATCAGGTAGTTGGATAGATGGTGGTTGTAAGATGCAGTATACACATTTTATGACAATTTTATCTGGCAAGCAAGTATAATCAGAAACTTAGGAACACTTACATATGAATGCTATTGTGGAATTTCAATTTTGCTTGAAAAAGTATAGAAAATTACAGAAAATACTTCAAAGCATTTATATTTCTTGGAGGTGCACCAATACATTGGTCCGATATTGGAGGTGCCCCTGGATCTGCATAGGGCAGGGCTCTTCCCAGCCGGTCACATCTGGGGGCACACCCTCCCAGATGAGCGGCAGGAGACACTAGATGAGCACTGGATGAACCGCACGCAGTGGCAGGAGCCACTCCCTGCTTCCTGTGCCCCTCTGATGAACTGCTCCTCTGTCCCACGGCTGCCCCAGCCCCAGCCCACAGCTACAATCTGTCCTGTGCCACACAGATCGGGGGGCACACGCCCTCCCCTCCCCACACCTCCCGCATGAGCCGCTTGCAGCTGTCCTGCATCCCTCCCTGCCCTGCCTGGTTAGTGCCTGCCCCAACCCCAGCCCCATTCCCCTCCTCACTGCTGGGACCTTGATCTGCCCCCCACCACACCCCTTCCCTCTCCTTCTACCACACCAGACTTACCAGCTAAAGAACTGTGTATTGGAAATCGGATCAGTATCAGCCGATACGCCTCCTGAAAAATTGGCTATTGGTACCCCAAAAATCTATATTGGTGCACCCCTAATATTTCTCCTTCCTAAAATATTTCAAATATTTGGATATACCTCCATTTTCATAGATCTTGTAGAATCATCTTACTGCTTGATTTCATTTCCACGGAAGTCAATGGGAAATTTACCATTCACATTCAGTTTAAGCACTGATCTCAATCTCTCCTATTTTCACTGGGAAGTTTGTGTTTGGCTTTATGTCATGACTAGCCAATTGCACATCAAGAATGATGGGGGGAGGGGGAGAGCAGGCGGGAATGGAGACCTGTGCCCCCCCCCAGACCACCCCCCATTCCCTCCTGCTGTTTGGGGTCCAGGCCTGCTCTCCCCCTCCCTGGAGCAGCGGCAAGGGGAGCAGGCCTGCCGTGGTGGGGGGAGGAGCAGGGCTGGGCCGACCCGGCGGCAGAGGGGGGATGGGAGGAGGTGGTTCAGGGCTGATGCAGGGGAAGGGGGGATGGGGATGGGGATGGGGATGGGGAAGGAGCAGAACCAACCTCCGCCCCCTGCCCCCACATGTCGGCTCAGAGCCTGCTCCTCCCATCTCTCCACTGCCAGGGAAGCCCAGGCCTGCTGCGCCCCCTGCCATGGTGGCCCGGCTTCTCCCCATCCTCGGGCCCAGTCCTACCCTTCCCCCACTGCCATTGCTGCGGTGTGCCCACTATTCCTCCCACCACTACCGTGTTGGGCCCTGCAGGCAGAGACGAGAGAAGGGGAGGGGCAGGCTGAGGCCAGAGCTGGTGGCCTTGCTCCCCCCTGTGGCATCCTAAGCCCACTCTCCCCCACACTGCTGTCACCTGCAAGGAGTAATGGGGAGAGAGGCCAGCTCCCCTTTCCCCCCCGTTGCATCGTCACCACCTGCAAGGAGCAAGGTGGTGGGGGGGGGAGTGTTGCCTTGGTCTCCCCATTCAGTCCACTCTGTTGACCCCATCTCCAGGAAGCAGGTGGGGAGGAAGGGTTGAGGACAGCTGGCCTCACCACCTCTGTTTGTCAGCCAAAAGGAGCATGAATAAAATGTTATGGACAGACAGACAGACAGACTTAGGCTTTTATAACATTAGAATATTCAGATATATAAAGTGTATACAAGTCAATGATAAAACAAGAAATCTATTCACTTACAAAAAACTACAAAACACAATACAAACACTGGAAAAAACATTCACTTAATGAATTTTGTTTTCATTTTGAGAGAAGTATATTTCTAATGGGCACATCATGTTATTATTAGTTATATAGTATCAAGGACAATAAAAAGTCCTTTTTCAGATATGTGGGG